TGAGCGCTTCCCGACGGGCCCCGCCGCTGCTGCGGCCCGCAGGGAGCTCACTGAAGGCGACAGGGCGGCTCCTGGCTCCTCTCGTAGCATCAACGGCCGCAGCAGTGGGCGCTTCACACATGTATTCCTGATAACGCATACATTCCTCGTAACTTTAAGGATAGATTCCTGAGAACTTTAAGCTTATCTTCTTGATAATACTGAGAGTGAGGATGAATAGATGAGGGCTGAGTTTCATGCCCCAGCGATGTTACAGTAGCAAGCTGCCTCCCGAGTCCACAGTTTACGGAGAACTCCATTGTAAGCACATGGGCTTATTCCGGTCCTCTGCTATCTGCTAACGGAGAGATCAGTGCCTTTTGTTGTGGATTTGAGCTGCTGCTCTGAGCTGCGGGGAAGGCCATCCAGCTCCCCAGACTGCCGTGACTTGCAGCCACCCTGCTAAGCTGCTCACCCTGGCCCTCCAGCTAAGCCAGCTGCAAATAAAAACAGCTAGGATTATTTTTTTTTTTTTGCCTAATAACTTTGACAATGCACCTCACAGCCATTCCAGTGAGCAACTTTGAAGTCATCTTGAATTTCCGCAGGATTTTCTCTTGTGTTAGTTTCCTTGTCCTTTATTAAGCAAATACAGGATTGGGCATTGATGCTAAGCTGGCAGTGCTTGAACCAGAGACAAAGCCTCAGTTCATCCCCATGACAGGGGAAAGTATCATTCAGGCTACCACCTCCAAACTCTATCACACTGATTTTACAGCAGCATTTCCCACAGACACAGAGCCAGTATGAACTTGTTGTCAGCATGACTTCATATTGCAGTTTGACAAAAAAAAAACATAAGGAAAGAAAAAAAAATCCATTAAGTCCCAGTGAGAAGAATACCAGCAGGATTTTTCCTTTAGGGCAGTACAGTTTTAGGGGCTCTGAAGACAAAATGGCTGCTCTGTATTTGAATGCAGTTGAGGAGCTGAGGCCAGCCCATAAACAACTGGGCAAGCCACAGTCTTCAAAGAGTTACAGGACGTGTCCGTTATTTGAAGTGCTTTGAACCTGTGTTGCTAGGAGTAGAGTGCATGGCTCAGTGATGAGACCTGTGTGGCACACGAGAGGGAGCGGAGCAGCGCAGCGGGTTAATGTGGCCTTTCCGTGAGTGAAATCGTCTCTCACCTGGGTTGAAACCATCAGCAGATGACAAATCAGCATGAGTTTGCTGTGTGGCTCATTGCAGGGCCCCAGGGACATCTCTCAACCTTATACAGCCTACTTCACAGCACATGGCTCCACTGGCAGCCGGTGCAGGACAGGGAGGGGACAGGATCAACACAAGGTGTCAGTGACCACATACACATTGGCAGTGCCATGCTGAAGCCGCAAGGCTGGAATAGCCCAGCCAAATCCTCAGGAGAGGAATAACACAGCCATCTGTGCCCATCGCTAAACAAAACTTTTCATCTCACTTTCATACACTGTAGATTTTTATCCAAATTGTTCTTAAAAGCTGCTGTAGAAATAATTCAAGTGCCCTGAATGTATAGGCCTGAGGGTTTCAGAAAGGAAATATGATGTTCTTTTCTACTTAGTCAACACATATTGTCTTTTATATTTTGCATACACACATTGCAACGTAATTTAAAAAAAAAACAAAAAAAACCTGTGATGATCCACCAAGACCTGACTGAACCCATAGAACCCACTATGGTTTAGCTGTACCACTGTACTTGAAGGACAACTGCTTGGTGTGGGCACCATTATATCGGAAGAAGTACGTGTGCCATATAGCTTATTCTTGTACAGAAAAGGAGTAAGACTACATCTTTAGGAGTGAAAACCAGGATAAGCACAATACCAGAGAGACACAAGTGGAAGTATTTATTTTGTCACAGATGACCCCTGTGACTTCGGCAGGTTAAGCCATCTTTCTGAATAGGTATATGCTATTTGGAAAGACTGGTGCGCGCAGCGGCTCAAATGCAGTGTATGACACCCCTCCCAGTGCTCCTACTGGCAGCCTGCTAGTCTAGGCAGGCTCACAGGGTCCCCTGGCCCAAAGCTATGCCCCAAAGCACTAGCATCCTGTGAGCTTCGGGCCTGCAGGGAAAAGGCACATGTCCATTAAGCTCCTTTCCATAGCTTCCACATCTTTAATGCAGACATCACAGCACCTCACTGTGTCCATGGAACTGTGCAATGACAAATACATTTAAAGACTGTGGTGCTTTCATATAAAATGGTAAAGGGAGGACATATAAGATCCTTAGACAGAAAACTGCAACCTTACTATTACCTATGTCGACGTAAGTACATTCAAAGAAAAGTCACCTCTTTCCTCCAGCTAACATACAACACTAATACAAAGCATGCAGATCATGGCACAATGCATTGCAAAGCAAATTAGAGTGATAAAATAAACCATGCTGAGAAGGGACCATTTATGTGCATCAGATAGTTCTGGATAAAGAAATTTATAGCGAAATGAGACAAACAATGTCAGAGCAATCTCCACAGGGCTCGGTTCAGCTACTTTTGAATGTTGTACTTCTATTTCTCTTCAGTTTTGCATTCTGAAGCTTCTGTGTATGCTTGCGCAGGGAATACTCCCTATGTACATTTTGGTTATAAATAATGAGTACTGACTGGACTTTAAATCTTTTCTATTTCCAGAACTGAGGCGTGAGGCTCTATAAGTGCCCCCAAGTGGCTTCAATTTCTGTCCTCAACAAAAGATATCAAAAGAAATGCAGGAAAGCAACTGTCGTAGAAAAAAACATGCAGAAGAAAGAGAAAGATACATGCAGTAAAGATGAGACAGTAAGTGACTGTTTCCAGGGGGGAATTAAAAAAAAAGAAAAAAAAAAGGTTGAAGATAGATGACTTAAACAGCTTTTAATGCTGTAAATTAAAGTAAATTAATATAATAACTGTAAACCAAGCTCTGTGCCAGAGCTGATTTCTCTGTTTCAGGGAACACTAGTTATCCTGCAGCAGTTTATGATCAGGAACTTTGATCTAACATTAGTGCTTCTCATATCCAAATACACACTTTCACCCAACATCATGTGAAGAATTCCAGAAGGTGAAATATTATGACACAATGCAGATGCATTACTACACAGTCAGAGATGGCATATAATTATTTCTTAGTAGTACAGAACTATCAAACTATCACATACGATTAATTTTTCAGCTGGTTTAAAAGATGCCGGGGATGTGTATGCCTATAAGTGGTCAACCCCTTGGTTTTAAAGCTTTTTTCCTAAGCAGAGTCATGAACTGTACAGTAACCTATACAGTAAGGTAGAGCCAAAGCCAGGTATCAAAAAGAAATACTATTTGGCACATCTATTTCCACTGAGCAGGAAATCAGTGACAGAAGAGCTATGCCCTGACTAAACATAGCTTGAAACTGTAGAATTACCATTCTTTTATTTCTGAGATCCAGGCTGCATTACAGGCTAAATTGGATTTGCATTTCCGTTAATAACAGGTAATGCTATGACACTTTTTATAAGTAGCTGAAATCTGCAGTTTCTAGATAGGGAAACATAATGCAGCACTGGCTTTTCTGTGGATGTCAAAAGGCAGAGCTGGTATTTGAGTTCAGAGGACACCTCACTCCCTGCTTTCTGTTCAGAGCACTTTCTCCACCCCCTCCCTCCCTGCATGCACTAGTAAAAGAGTTTGCAGCTAGCCTTGCTCTGAGTAGCAGGTGGGACTAGATGACTGCCAGACATCTCTTCCAAGCGAAATCACGCTATGGTCCTGCGAACCTGTGAAAATGAATGTCTATTACATCAAGAGCTAGTAAAAAAATCTGAACTTCACCTGCTTTAGGAGACAGGCAAAAATCCAATTAAAGAAATAAACCCTTCAAAAGTTTATGGTCCACACTAGTCACTAAGGGACAAGCACAGCTCAATTGGATGACCGTTTCTCAACTGGGAGACATCCTGAGGAACCATGCTTAGAACATCACAGCCTCTTGCAACTTACCAGTCTTTCATGGATTACCTCCTTGCTTGATTTTGCCACTGCCCCCATAACTCCTCTGGCTTTTAAATTACTAATTACACTTCACTTGGTTAATTCTACATTAAAAAACAAAGGAAGCTTAATTGCATGGACAGCATGAGATTGTTTTCTTCCCAGATACTATTGGTTTCCTGCTCCAAACAGGATAAACAGAAATGTTTTATCAAGCCGCCTAAGAGCGTTCTAGACTGGCCAACAGCAGAGGTTTGGCAGGGTAAAACACAGGTTTATTGAGTATTGTATGTAGTGAGTGCTAATAAACAGGTGGACCTGCACATTTTCTATTTCTGCAATTTTATAACCAGTCATACTACCAATCAGACAAGTATTAGCCCACAGTTTTACTGATCACAAGCTAAATGCACTTCTTTACTAATTAAATACTTTCTCTTAATACATTATTTTATTATGCTCAAATCTATTTGAAGATTTCCTGGAGTCCAGCTCAGATTATATCTTTGCATCATGCCTATTTGTCTGTTTGTCCTAGGATTTCTAGAATTTTTACCAAGGAATATTTTCCTGTTTTCCACTAGTTTCCTGGCCTATTCATTTGAAATCCTCATTGGCCAAAGGCCTACAAATAGAGCTACTGACCACTGCTTCAGTATTGCATACAACTGCATACTATGTCCGAAAATCCAGGCACTTTAAGACCTAATGAAACTCCACTGAAGTCATAAAATGACATCTGCAGTAATCAGGTACCTCAACTGCTAAACCAGATAAATGAATTAAAAAAAGGGATCCAATATATTAATTAGAAACAGGAAGAAAAAAAAAGAAGAGGAAAAAAAAAGAGGGCCGTTTGGGAACAAGTAGAATTACTTGCTAATCTTTCTTTTTTTTTTTATGACTAGACAGTGCCAAAACTTCCTGTCCCACCACTGCAACAGACCTTATGCAGGTACCTACAATGCATGAAACACTTGGTGCCAGAGGAGCAATTTAGAAAGACGAAAGTCATTGTGGAGCAGTTTGGAATTGCAGGAGGCTTAGGGGAATCCTTGCAGCAAATCCTCGAGGAAAGAAGGGAAAAGACAACAAACTGGGTAAGCAAATGCAGATGAGAACAATGATTGCTCTGTTGGATGATGCTCATTTACAAACTCTTTGTGATGTTTTATATGTGACCACTGCTTTCTTTTAGTGAGTCAATGCAAAGAGGGGTCACATCAGATTCTACCAAAGGGAGTGAATATTTCAGACATATTAATTAGTCTAGAATTTTCAAACTATGTCAAAATCTATGTAATTATTATGTTTTCAGATCAACAGTTTGTTGACACAAATGAGGAAATTCATGCATCTCAGGTGCATGCATGTAGATGTCAGCTCTACCTGTAAGAAGCACTATATTACATCCTTTCTGGATGTAATTTCTTCCTTTCCCTTTAATAACAGAATTTCAAGTTTTTATTAAAATGAAAAATGCTTTCTGATAGGGCTATAAAAAGTGCCTTGCATACCCATCTAGTCAAAGCTCTGATCTAGTCGAATTATTCTGGAATGGAAACTTCAGGATAGGAATTACTCTTTTTTAATTAAACTAATATTTGCCATTCATCGTCACACCATACTAATTTAGTTACCCTGAAGTATTTACTTTGCCAAATATACACACATATGTATACATATATATATATCTACCATATAGACCATGCCGAGACCTCAGCCTTTATAAAAGTCAAGCTTTCTGCTTCCCAAGACAGAAAATTAAACAAGCCGTAGATAAAATAGATTTGCTCATTCCACAAAGTCACTGTTCATCCTGCCTGCATTAACCACATTAGAATATGGCAGCTGAAAACTAGAAACACTGATTTTATTGAAGTCCTTCCATCCCAGCAAGGAAGAGAGACACTGAATGGTTTCATGGATTCAGTGAAATTCTGCAGGCTTGCCACTGATGTCAGTGAAGTGTGGTTCTCCCTTAACTTTTCAGTTGTGTGACCCACAAGAAAACTCCATCAAATTGCTGCTATTGTCAGAAAAAAAGGCTATGGTACTGGCAGTGCTTTTATTTTAAAAGCAGTGCTTAATTTCTGAACTGCTTATTGCCACAGTCTGACAGCTCCACTAAATGCTGCCCAATCTCTTTTTGTTATTCCGATCATAGAACTTCATGGTTTTGGTGGCTAAATTAACCATCGCTTAAATAGTGTTCTTGATAACAAACAGTGTTCCAGGAGACAACTGTTCATTCAACCACTTACAGCATGAAAATTACAGAGGAAGGACGTAGAAGAGTTTTCTGAAATGTCTCAATTTTAGATACTGGTTATTAAAATTAAATACCTGATTCTTAAGATAAACTAGAAATGTTTTTATTTGGAATTTAACTTGCTAGGAGTACAGCTCTAGCCTGTTCTCCTGAAGACTCCAGAGACTGTGGCGGAAGCATCTGTTCTAACAGCAATGAAATATCTCAGAGGAAAACTTTTTCAACTGATGCATGCATTTATAATTATTTTTGCATAATTTCTTTGTTGTTTATAGTTACTATATGCAAAGCATGTCCGCTAAACTCAGAAAGACCATTTGATCTTTTTATGAAAGCCTTCATTTTCCAAATAATGATTCTTCAAACTCTGCTCAGACATATAGGGATGCGGTTACCGTACATCTGTGTTTTCAATAAAAATGGTTAGAAATTTAATATGTGGGTCTGTCTGAGTCAAGCATCAACAATCTACATTTGTGTCAGTGGACACAGAGCAAATTCTCCTGGGGCCCTATCCACACGCCAGTATCTGCAGGACCGAACCATTAGTCTCGGCAAATTATTTTCCCCACTCTGTCTTGCTACAGGACAGTATCTGATGGCTAACAACAAAGCATCTTGGCATCATTGACAAATATTTGAAGCCCCCTGAGGAAAGCCATTGCTAGTAAAATTCCGTCCATCTCTTAAATATATCCCAACCGCTATTCAAGAGTCAGCAGTTAGCATGTTGTACTCAATCATTTTTTTTGTTGTTGTACAGGGAAGCAAAGAACAAAATACCCAAATCACCACGATATGGAGCTTGTTTACTTTTTAATGGAACACACTGTAAATAGCCATTGATTGAAAAATAGGATTATGGAATTGTGGCTGATTTCAGCTGAGCTGAGGTCACGGAGCCCAGACTGAAAATGCTCAGCAGCTCCATTAATCAGAACCCATGCCTGACACAGGAGCATCAAGCCTGCTCCCCTCACTCCCAAACTGCCTCCCGCGTGGTGAGCATAGCTTTAAGATTTCATGTCCCCTTCCTTCAGGTGTTTAACTACTGGCTGGATGACATGTACCTCAACAACCGGCTAGCTCTTCCAGTCAACTCCAGCCCAGCAATTATCTTTGCTCGTCAGTATTTCAAGGATGTAAATGATCAGCTGAGGTAATGTACTACGACTTTACAGTTTTTGCTAAATGAAAGGATATTTTAAATGTACTGCTTTGCAAAAAGACAATCAACTTTCATTAAAAAATAAGGGCTGTAACCATTAAACGATTTCCTACTAGACCTGCTTACTGAGGGCAGTGTTTCTGGGGTTACTCATACTGATATTCAGAAATAAAAGTGTCATTACTATTAAATTTATTGCATTAAAAATGTAATGAGATTTATAATTTTTAAAGGAATATTTGCAAAGCATTTCATTGTATAATTCACATAAACCATTTTACGATGGAAAAAAGAAATTATTGTTTTCTGTCAGAAAAAAAAATTCTAACACATTGTTTAAAGAAAAACAATATTTAACATGCCATTGCTATGACTGGTATTCACCCTGCAAACTGAAAAGGCCACGCTGGCATTAAATTATCCCTCTCAGGTGCCCAAAAGAGCATCAGAAACACAGGGGATCTAAGAATAAGAGTTCAGAAATCATTCCTCCCCAAGAACAGTTTCCTTCAGGCTCATCCTTCCCAGCCTTGAACTGACCTTTCTCCTTTGAGCTGTTTGGGGCAATTACAATCATTTAAAAAGTGAAAAGGTAAACGACTAGCCAAGCACAGAATATACCCCTCTAGACACCCTTAAATCAGGATTCCATTCTTCAGCCTTTGCCAAAACATTTTCTCCTTTTAAAACAGTAAACCAGACCAAATCTACCTTCATATAGTGCAATTTTCCTCTTTGTTTTAGCACTCTCTAGCTGCTCATTACTGAAAGAATTAACTGCATGTGAATTTATGCTATTATAAAACAGCCAGAACCTTGAAGCCTGTGATAAATGAGTGAGTCCCAAACAGAACTCCAATCAAAGTTTACAATTTATTAAGCGAATAAAGGCAAGCAAACAGCGCTGGGTGCGCCGGGAGTCTCCGCTCCACCAAGACGCACACTCGCCGTGGCAGTTTTTCTTGTATTTATACAAACATATTCATAGCCCCCCCAAAAAGGTCAGTTTTTTCCCATGAGATCATTTCTATAGTCCCCGCCTCAGGATCCGCCTCAGGCTCCTCCTC